AGAAAAAGTAGGCGAGACACTGGGTTCCGCGGAACCCTTACGAATTTGTTGTGAGATGCGAGGATTTAAAATCCTTGTGAATTGAAACCACGCAAGTATTTTTTCATTCACGACCGTTTAAAATTTAGATATTTAGCTAACTTTGGGTACGCATCCCTGCTCATTGGTGCTCATACGTTACATATAATTTTCATAAATGTAATGACTGATCAAACCATGCAAACCTGTGAGACATAATGCACATATACATTACAATTTTAATTATATTCTATAAATATTAGGAATAAATTCAGTCTCAGTTTTACCTTAACAATGAATATTCTCTTAGTCTGGTAGTATCTATTAATGAAATTAGATTTTTTTACAGAAAAATCGTTTTCAGTGTTTGATTATCTTTCTGCTTTCCGACCACTGTATTTCCGGCCTTAGAAAATATTTTAACAGAAATATCATTTCTTAATTTTCTTCATTCTTTCCGATATTTTCTCATGCTATGATTGAAATACTAAATATCAAATGATAAACGTTCAGAAATAATCAGTTTATTCTGGGCCATTGTATATCAATAAACTATTCCCAGGTTTATTAAATACAACACACACAACGCGTAGATGGACCGTCTCAAAGCATGAATTATATACTTTGCGTTATCATTATACTCAGTGATATTTAATAAACATTCACATTATTAAAAACATACATGTTTTGTCAAAAGACAAATAGGTTCTAACATGTAAATGATTTTTAGAATGTAACCTAGTCTTTATTGTTTTACTTTCAAATCTACAAATGAACCGTTTGTCGGATTGTTCAAATATACCGTGAATGTCACGCTGTAGCCTATCAATAGAGGGACCGTATCAAAGACATAAATAACTACCTATATAAATGATGGAAAATTTTCGAGACGTTCCGAGAATCGTGATTCCGAGGATATCGAGTGGCCCATAGACACTCCCAAAACTCGCCAATATATAAGCGTGAACCCCTTAGGGGTTCACGCAAAAATACTATAAAAATCATTAGCGATTGGCTTAAACTTATTGACCCTTTAAATAAACATATTTTAAAAGGTTACCAATTTAACAATGTATAATTAGATCTTTGAATATATTTTTAGTTTAGTTTTTATCGGTATAAATATTGTTATGACATGATGAATAGAACATTTGCACCGTTCCCTCTATGGGGAATTATGACGTCTATCTCCCACAAGGGATATCCGTTTGACTGTGCGGTATGTGTAAAAACATAGCCAATATAAAAATAAGGAGATGTGGTGTGATTGCCAATCATGCGAGACAGCTATCCATCAAAGTTCAAATGAAGTGGATGTAAGCAATTATAGTAAACCGTACAACAAACCGAAAAACCCATACCGTATATTTGGATCATGAAAAATATGAAACAATTCAATTGAGAAAATTACCAACCTAATTTATAACAATTTACGAAAAACAAATAGGACAGACATGAACCAACGACAACCACTGAACTACAGGCTCCTGACTTGGGACAAGCACATAAAGAATGTTGCGGGGTTAAACATGTTTGTGAGCGTTCAACCTCCCCTAACTTGGGACAGTGGTGTTATATACAGCACAACATACGAACAAACTATAAAAATCAGTTGAAAAGGGCTTTACTCATCAGATCGATACAAAGCAGAAAAAATAACTAACAAAAACACAGACCAGGCGTGGCAGGGTATTTATACATACCTAACACGAAAAAGGACACAAAGTACAGATTTGAGAGTACTCGCAGTTACTGACAGCTAGTTCAAAGCCAATAAAAACTTATTAAAACAATCATGTATCTAAGACTAAAATATCAAGTCCGGAGGGAATGAGGACAGAGTATCAATCCTGTACAAGCTTTAAGAAATGAGACCAAGATCATTTTCTTGCAGACTTAGATATGATTGAATTTTCTAGACAAATAGGTAAAAGAAATATTTATCAGACATATTCGAATTTTGAATGGAATAACACATTAATTGTAAATGTTTTAGACCAACATGCTCCGCATTAAAAAAATAATAGAAAAAAATGCAAACAACATGCATAAAATAACTTTCCACAAGACGGGACGAAAATGAATATTTTGTCCATCAAAATGCAGGACAATGCAGGAAATAGGTGTGTATACAAGTGTGAAAATAAATAAGCCGTACTAACAACAAGAGAAAATGTTGCTCTAAAACTGAAAGATGATTACTAATCAAACAGAAAAAAAGTGTTTTCGAGTTGGATCCAGTCTTAGCAATTGGGAAATCATTTACAAAAGTGTTCACCAATCGGACCTTTCCACATATCTGTATACGCCGTTCTCTATTCATGACAACAACATCTCTCTACTCCTCATTTGGATATAAACAGTAATTACTATACGTTTGAAAAAGACATTTTGGCTGTGAAAGACTGGGTTTCTTACCAACCAAATGAAAGCCAATCAAGAAAAATTTAAGCTTGGGCAAAAAAGGATTGACAAACCATATTACATTTGACCTAGCAGGTAACGAAATAAAATATGAAAAAGATGTCAAACTATAGGTATTACAATTGATTTTGAACTTAATTTCAACACGCATATCTCTAATATCTGCAAAAAGCATACAGAGAGATAAAATAAAAGAAGTTCAAAGACTCGGAAAATACATAAACAAACTGGGAAAACTAACAATCGGCCACTATTGGCAGCGAGGCAAGCACATTAAAATTGAAACAATACAAGAAAGTACACTTCTTTTTATTTACCAGAATAACAACAGCACAAGTGATAACTTATTTTTTAAATACGAAATTACGAAATGCTTTTCTGAAAGTAAGACGTCATAGAACGATGTCAATGGAGGTATTTAGAACAGCAAATAAGGAAATGCTTTATTTTGATGCTTTGAAGATATAGTAGTGCTGATTGTGTTAAGTTTACACCGTAATGCAATGCATGTATTTAATTTACTTTAGTGTTTTATGTTGGTGCTGGAATGCTTAATTATAATTTTTAGCTTAATTCGCACTACATGAGGGTCTGGAATGGTTGGGGTTTTGTGTATTATTGTGCATATTTGTCCATCTTTGCCTTGTCAGTCATGAAATACGGTAATTGTATGTTCCTGCATGTAATGCTTTATCATCAAAAGTATTGGGTTTGCATTTGTACGTCTTGTGTAGATCACAAGAAATCAGTATGTTAATGCGATGTGACATGTTGAAATAAATTTTCATTGACGATAAATCCGATGCATCGTGTAGGAAAAGTGCCACGCTCTCTGTACGTGAACGTTTTTTGTTTGCACTTTGAAGAACCTTCCTAGAATATTTTTTGTTAATTTGTTGTAGTGCTGAATATGTAACTGGATTTCAGCAAACAATGTTCAATAAAAAAAATAATGTTCTATAAATTGATTTTAAGTCAATCATCAGATCCAGTGGAATCGACCCTGTAAACAGAACAGCAGTACTATGATTAAACAGCTAAACAAATGTGAATAGCTGAACACACTCATAGGCCGCGGCGAAAGAGGTACGGTAAAACTGTTAACTTAAGGTATAATTTTGCCATGATCATGATTAGGTTAGGCGCAAATATACAAGGAGGCGTAAACCACAAGAAGCTACGATTTTATTAAAAATGGACAGTAAAATGAAATTAAAAAGATATTTTATAACGTTTCTTTCTCTCTTTTTCACGGCTCTATAAAAAATAGATGTGGAATGATTGCAATGACACAACTACCCACCAGATACCATAGTTCGAGGATGTACAACTATAAGTCGACATAAATGGCTTTCAACAATGAGCATTGTTTCTATGTATAAGAATTTGTTAGTGTTCAAAATGTGTAAATGCTCAAAATATTGGTATGACTATCGGTTTCTTTATAAAAATATATTTCCCAAGGCACTCGTGGATTATCAATGAAAAGAATGCTGAGCGGTCCTCAAAGAAAGAGTCATTTGTTGTTGTTTATTGATCCAGCGACAAATATTTCAGCGGCATATTCAGGCTGCCGGGAAAATACTTTTTACCCCCTTAAAGAGTCATTTTCCCGCGAATGAGAATCAAATTTTTGAACTCGGAAACATTGTGACAATGTTGCAGTTTTGTCTCATGAATATACCGATGGGAAGAATAGTCGCGGCCAGTGTGTCATAGATATGTCCCTTCTGGGAATAGTATACTAAAGTCAATATGATTCAAGCGATATTTCGCCTTAAATTGATATGATGATGAAATATTTGCCACTGGACGTTTAACAATCAACAATCCGTAAATCCCAGGTCCCATCAGTCAGTTTTTATCAAGCTACAGTGTGCTGGGATTCGGGGGAGGGGGGACCGGTCAGTGCGTCACTCTGTCCCGTCTGGGTATACGGTATCCTAAAGTCAATATACCGTTGTAAAAAATATAATGTTTTTGGCATAAACACGTCCAAATATTTTTTATATGTTCAGCCGTTCAAGTGAATTACGCATCCCTTTTCAAAAATCCTGGATCCGCCCCCTAGCTGAGTCATTACATTCTGAGTGACGAAATGTGAATTAGTGCCCCATAGCATTATCTCTATTTTGTAACCATGGAATTTTGAGACTGTACAAATGTAGAGGAACCATATTTAGACGAATTTCCCCTATTCAGTGCTTGTACTCCTCCCTCCACCATTGGACATCTAACCATATTTATAGTTATGTGTTATCGTACTAGATCGGGTACGTGCTCTCTCTATAATAAATCTACTGAATAAAAATTATCAGAATAAATGCAGTTGATGGTGTGTTTTTAGTCCTTTGATTATTTTGTTCTGTATTTTTAAAATTATTGTAAAAATTTGATGTCTCAGGCCTTATCCTGTGACTTTGGATCCTAAACACACAATTTACTGTTCCTAATCACTATATATATAAATCCTGGTCCTAATTATGAAAACGCATTCTGTACAATTTCTTTCCGACATCGAGTGAAATTTACGATTTCATTACTGGTTTCCGGTGGGACAACTATCCGTTAGCTCAACACTATGCAAATATTTATTTTATGAAAGCCAGTTGAAAGTGCAGCATGTAAATATTTTGTTTTAAAACTTGAATTTATTCTGGTGAATATTCTCACGTTAGTGCAATAACTTGATCAAATTAATCTTTTTAACGGGGTTATGACAATTTTTTTCTCTCGGGTGGACTGTATCATGATTTGGATTTTTCAAATCTTTTTTTTCAGATTTGGTCGTCCCATAATTAAATAACGACAGGGACTTGACCAGTGTTCCAGCTAGGATTTCAAATGGGCAGGGAGCCAATCATGAAAAGGGCACTTAAGCACGATGATTGATATTTCAAAAAGGGCATGTCAAGCATTGTCATATGTAAACTGCAGGGGTTTCAGCTAGGCAGTTTTGAGGGGGTTTAGTCACTTTTACGCTAGATGAAAATCAACCTTATTTTGGGTAACAGTAAGGGACCAAGGACTTATATTACTAGCTATACATATTCCTTAGTCCTTCAAGGACAATGATCTTTGAAGGCCTTAGTCATGCTACAAATGTAGGCAGTCATGGTATGATTTTACTGGTGTGATGCTTAACTTATAAGGATCTGGAAATTTAGTTCACAATTTCTGTTATTTTGAGGGGACATCCTGATCGACCAAAGTTGGGTTCTATTTTTTTAAAGCAAGGAATCACAGCATAAATGAAATTGTAACGACTATTTCACTGCGTAATCAATATCCCTGTAAAAAAGTTTTAAAATCGATTTTTGGAATCCATTTGTATGAGCTTGGAATGATTAAAAAGACTGTCTTTTATCAAAGGAGATCATGTTTACTTTCGATTTTTAAATGAAATGAAAACAGGAAGTGACTAGAGTTTAATAAATTTAGAATGAATCCGGATTCATCTTCGGAGTGGTTTGTGTTTAATGTTAAGGCAAGAAATTATCATTTTTAAAAATTCAGTTGCTCAGTAAAAAATATATTTGTCTCTCCGGTTAATTTGATACTTAATTTACAATTAAGTGTCCATTAAATTTATAAAGAAACGTTCAAGCATGCACGGTTCATGATATTAAAAGAAAGCACATGTTTGAATCGTGAAAATATTTTTGATCGTTTTAAAAAAAGTTTTATCTTTATAATCGAAATTGTCAAAAGATTTCAATGGAAAGTTTTATAAAATGTGACGAAAACACGTTCAAGTGACTAAACTACGTCAACCAAGCTGGAATAAGTAATCGTTTGAGAAATTTTGGAAATTAAATGAACACTGTCCGGTCGAAACTACAAAAACGTCTATTATAAACGAACTGCAAATGGTGGTCTTTTGAGAAATATTGAAATTGAAATGCTGACTGACCGAATTTAATGGGAAAAATAATTACAATGGTCAATTATGAGGTTTAATTAACCGATTAATGACCCATCCGATGGCAATAAGCGGATTATCTGTAATCACAACTTATTACACCTGCTGTAAATGTTAATTAGCTGAGGGTCATAAACTTGTCATAAATATGAAGACAGATAGAAAGATAGTATTTTCATCAAAATATTACAACAATAAAGGCATGGACTTGTGAAAAAGGGCAGGGTGTCATAAAAAAGGCACAGGGCGGCACTCGGGAAAGGGTGGGCGGACAGCCCTGTGAAAACTAAGCTGGAACACAGTTGACTTCACTAAAATATAGCCCGTTAATAGAAGTATTTACACTTGTTATGTAAAAGTGTCTGCCATTACCACAGGCACTTGTATCTATCCTTGGGAAGATCCACTATTAAACATATCCTAAATATACGTTGAGAGTGGATCTTCCCATGGGTAGTCCAAAATAATTATGACGTCTTGAAAGGCTATTTTATTTTTTTGCTTTGACGCCTTCCTGTCATAATTATCATGATTATTTGGACTACCCGTGCTGGAATTCCAGACAATTTTTTTTATTCTCAAACCCTTTGGAAGACGCTGGATTTCCAGATCTTTTTAGTTAACTTATGAGACAAAAATTTGGTTAAACAAATACTGTAAAAGCAGAAATTTTCGTGGAGGATTTAATTTCGTTTATTTCATGGAAAGAATATATCCACGAAATTAAAACCCCTACCAAAATTATCCTACATATAATATCACTTCCATTTAATGGAAACCACGAAATTAAATCCCCATGAAATTTTATATAGAGACAAAACCACGAAATTTTAAACCCACGAAAATTAATGTTTCTACAGTAGGTGGAAATCCAGTAACTTTTGCAAAATATGTAAAAAAAATTCTTATGAAAAAAAATTTGACTTTGCATGTCTTCCATAGCATGCATAGTGGGGGTTAAAAAATTTCTGGTATAGCCCTATATCATGTATATATATTGATTGGACTTGACACTCGACAATCGTATAGATTACCTTGTCACGTCAGTTCTAATAACCGATATTGTATGGAAACGGAGATGTGTCAAATTACATACTCGCTATTATTGGCGATATATGGCTCTACAGTACCCAATTGAAACAGTTTTAATATAATGATTGGAAATTTTTTTTATATTTTTAACACTTACATGACTTATGTAAACATGGTAAAGATATTTAATTAATTCCAAAATGATAAATTAACAATTATACAGAAACTAAAGCTGTTTTTAAAAGAGAAAACGGCAATTGCGATTATAACTTTCTTTCATTTTCTTATTTTCATGATTATGAAACAATAAAAAATGAACTTTCACCAAAAAAGTGCTCAAATGTGGTTGTTTATTTTATTAGAGAAAGCGGCAATTTTCTTTGTTTGTTTATACATGTTATATGTTCTTATTATCAACTGAGACATACAATAAAAAAAAAAAAAATTAGAAAATATATAACATCACCTTACATGTATGTGACTTTCTGTCCAGCAATTTGTGTTTTTTTTGTTGTTGCAAGAAATCTTTTCTTCTGTAAAATTGATGACGTTCATTGAGGAAAAACAATAAATTTTAACTTCGTCGCTTTATTTTAGTTATGTAAGAATATATTTCCTTTCAGAAGACTCAGTGTTTTCCCTAGGCTATTCAATCATTGCAGTACCACTAAGCATAAATTTGGACCGCCATGCTTTCATCATTGCCGCAATGCATCCCGCTATGTGTGAAAATTATAACTTTGTAAAATATTTATTATCAATATTTTGAAAGTGAAGTGACAGGTGACAACACTCCACAGGTGTTTTAAATTCATCTGACTGATAATTGGATGCATCACGTCGCGCGTGTTTGGATTAGTTATTAGTTGGTTATACATCGAGACTTCGGTTTTAACTGATAAATAAATAGTCAGATTAATCTCCAATGCATATCTTTCTGTGCTAAATAAAAAGTTTAACCTTTTCCAGTATAAATTTCGAATCACCTTTAAAACGGGTGTTTGACATCATTATTTTACTGTGATCTTTAAAAAGTAGAAATTTAAAATTTGGTATACTAGTAGTCTCTGGTATTATAAAATAAAACTAATGTAATTTCACAGAGAATGGACAAAACTTTTTTTAATAAAGTTTCGCAGTTATCATGGTTATTTCATCAGCTATATGTACCCATCGATGAATTATTTTTTAATTGGTCACGACAATCAGTTATTTTTAGATTAGTCGCGGTTGATTGCTTATATAAAGAATACACATTACCTCTACCAGGCCGAGAAAAAGACGTGTCTTATGAAATATTTAAAAGATTTGATAGAAAAACTTTTAAAACATACGTAGTTATTTACGGAAATATTGTTTTTGATAAACTTGTGTTGTTCTATTTTTATTTCAATGGGTCACAAGCTGAAGTGTAGCGGATTCATTTCCCATTTTTATACAAGTGGGTCTAAATTTCTTTCACTTCGGCAAGATAGGATTTTTACAATTATGAAGCATTATAAATAAATAGGACAGGGATATATTTAAAAAAAATAGTTAATTGTCATGAAATAAAATGTCAGCTTAGCTTCCAAACAGGTAATTACAAAATATGTCATCCGAAAATCTGTATGTCAGGTATTCTTCATTGACGACTTCTGTGATCTTCTGTAATTAACGCAAATAAACTTTTTTTTTATTGTTTCCTGTAAAATCTCTGTGAAGCAATGATGACATTCAAAGTTTTATTTAACAACTTGCTGTTGATGCTGAAACCATTCTATCAGCAAAATTTGAAGAAGTTGAACAATCATCATTTTAACAACCATGTCCAAGCAACCATCAAAGAAACGTCGCCTCACTGGCCTAACTTTTTTAACAAGAGTCAGACAGATGAAATTTTTCATGTTTAAACCATGTAAACAGAGTTAAAACTGATGCATGATTGTTTATTATTAATTGTTTTATGCTTTTAACTAGCTGTCAGTAATTGCGAGTACTCTCAAATCGTACTTTCTTGTTTATTTGACCTGTTGATACTAATTGTAATGCTTTTTTGTTATTTAATGTTATTCAGGGTAATATCTGGTCTATGTACCAGCTTTGATAAGTGTTTGGTATTACCATAAATTTTCACTTTGAACTATGAACATCAAAATTATTTATTTTGTAAAAATATTTCCTTTCTCTATTTGAACTGTACATGCACGTATACCTAACACCAAAATTATTTTCATTTACCTGTGTTTAAAGTAATTGCAAATGGCTGATATTTTTGTTCGAGCATATTGTTTTTCTTAAATTGTTTAACATTTCATAGTGGTATAACAAGTTACTTTTATTATTCTTCCCTTAGTTTATTTATTTTGTATTTACATTGTATCATAGGTCAATTTTATTTGTTCAGTGTATGTTCACTGGTGTTAATATGTCCTTTGATTGAGTTAAGCTATTTCACTTGATATTTTATAGTGTGTCTTTCTATGTTGTGATGTTACACTATTGTTTCAGAAAAAAGGTGAAGGTTTGGTACCATTAAAACGTTTAAACCTGCTGCAGTTGTTTGCACCTGTCCTAAGTCAGGAATCTGATGTTCAGTAGTTGTCGTTTGTTGATGTGGTTCATAAGTGTTTCTCGTTTCTTGTTTTTTATATAGATTAGACCGTTGGTTTTCCCGTTTGAATGGTTTTA